CCCAACGCAGGCATTCACATTTAGAGGGGAAAGGACTGATCTCAGAAATTTGTGTTCTCCTTGACTTCTCTTTATATTTAAAATGAGTTTAGTAACTTCTAACCACATCGGCTGTCTTTCAAAAGCTACAGAATTTTATTCCGGAGTAACCTTCCAATTTTGTGAAGCACGGTTAAATAAGATGTAGACTTAAAACCAGTAGCTCTCGGGAGCTTGGGTGATGAAAAAGGCTGATGACGTAAGATCACATGAATCACTTCCCTCAGGGTTTGCTGCCAAATTCCAGGGGGCAATGAGTTATTAGTCTCTATTCCAGAAGTTCAACCCTGGGGACATGGCTCAGTCCCATCTCTATGGGACCCAGATAACACACCGTGTTCCCGTGGACAGGAAGGACACAGGAACACACTGTCTGCATCCTCCCATCCAGAGTGCCAGGCAGCAGGAGAGGTGGGGGAGGGGAGTGTTTGTTTTAGTATTCTTTAAAAATTAAAGCTCATTAAATGCATTCAATTATTTAAAAGAATTAAAAATTAAAAATAATTCCAGATTTAAAATTGATTTGTAATAAGCTTTCAGATCAGAAAAACCACAGACGTGGGAGGGTAAATCTTGATCATACTATAGTTTGTGAAGTTGCCTGCCACAGTGATGACACCTGCCACACACCCAGGAAGTGCAGAGGAAGAAAAAACCTGCATCCTTCAGGCCCAGATACGGAGAGTAGCCTGTAGCCGGAGAACGAGAGCAGACGATGCTGCCAGTCTTGTGCTCTTTCCAGCTGTGGTCCATTTGCACATGGCTATGTTATTGATGCTGTTGACAAAAGGAAGCCAGAATACATCTTGTGATTCCCTGGCAAGGGGCAGCTTGCTAACATGCAGCCCTCACTGGAGCCCAGGCAGAGCATATCAAATCCCCATGAAGTCAGCTAGCAGCAGCGTCTTTCATTCGTCACCGTGGGCTGTCAGGCTGCAAAGAGCATTAACGCGGGAGCCTTTCCAGAGAATTCGGCAGCTGCTAGTGTCAGGATGATGTCCACACTCCATCCAGACAGACCCGCAATGCCCAGCCTCCTTCTTCCACCTCGAGCAACAGTGCCAGCCTCCCCACCCCCAATCCAGCTTTCTAGCTCAGCCGGAATAACAGCCGTCTTCCCTGTTTTGCCAAAGCTTCCTCTGCTAATTCACATGCTTGCATTGACGCACAGAGAGCCCCTAGGGTGCAGAATCCCCCTGAGGACATGACTTATGAATACCCAACTATCTAGTGGAGCCCCACCCAGAGTGAAGCACATCAGCCACTTTCAGACAGCCTTGGCGATGGGGAGGAAGCTTCCAGATCCACAGCCCTCCGAAAGCTGTGTTGCTGCTCCAGGCTTGTGAATAACAAGGAACTCAGAGTGGAAACCTGATTCTGGCAATAGTTTGCTGTGCCACTCTAGGTGGGTTAAGTTTTAGTAACATCTGCCGAGTGGAAGATAGAGATTGGCTAAAATATATGGCAGAAACCTGTATCTACCACCTCCAAACGCGTTCTCCCATCTCTGTGTATTACTATTACTTGGTATGCCATAGAAATCCATAACATGAGATCAGCTCTCAAATGTTCAGGCTGTGCACACAGCTCTGCTAACTGTGAGCAAGCTGCAGCCACTGAACCACTCCTAAGATTTATTTTCTTATAAAAACCAAAACGCTGTACCCTCCAATGCTCCATCCTCCTCCCGCCCCTGGCAGCCACGCTCCCATCTGTGTCATCAGAACAACAATGCTGTATGGTCCTTGTCTCTTCCAGGCACCTGGGCAGTAATACCTATGGCTTACTAGACGTCAAAAGCAAAAGTAGAGACTGGGTGGTTATATATCTGTAATCCCAGCACTTGGGAGGCTGAATCAGGAGGATTGTGGGGAGTTCAAAGCAAGACCAGATGGGCCATAGAGAGAGCTTGTCTCAAAAACAAAAAATCTGTTAATTGATCAATCCATAAATCTAAAATTTAAAAAAAAATGCATTTAAGCCAGGCAGTGGTGGCACATGCCTTTAATCCCAGCACTTGGGAGGCAAAGGCAGGCAGATTTCTGAGTTCGAGGCCAGCCTGGTCTACAGAGTGAGTTCCGGGACAGCCAGGGCTACACAGAGAAACCCTGTTTTGAAAAACCAAAATAATAATAATGATAATAATTAATCATAATCATAAAATAAAAACTTTCATTTGTGGGGGAAAAAAATGAGAGCAAAAGTGAATGTTAACCTTTGCTGAAAAGAATGGCACCAGCTCAGTGTCCACACAGACAAACAGACAGATGCTCAATGTTTTTTGTCATCTTTTGTTCCACTTGTATGCCAAAAGGCCTCATCCCAGAGTCCAGGGAGAGAAGGCACACCATCTTGGCTCAGGCCTCAGCTTTCCTGCCTAGCATTCCATTCTGAAATCCTGGGAGAGGCCAAAGTCAGACAGCAGTGGGTGCAGAAGTGAGAGTCCTCCCTAGGACCCGCAGAAGACTTTGCCTTGGGCACAGTTCATACCTGCATCTGGCCTACTTTGGAATCCGAGCCTGGAGTCAGTCTCTTGGATATTTGCTCCACTCATAATGAGTCACTGGTCATGGTCACAGAAACGCCCTCTATTACTTATGTCATAAGTAACATATCTGGATGCCTTGTGAGGCCTAATGAAAAGCCAGGATCTCCGGTGGCAGGGGGGAGGTGGAGAGGAGGTGGTGGGTGGGGAGATTATGTATCTAGGGAAGACAGGAGAATGTTCACAGGCCACACACACAGAGTTTGCATCTCACTAGATAAGTTACTGTTAGTTTCTGCTGAAGCTCAGCGAACTTGAAAGGGCACCAACTGCTAACCACAGGGCTCTGGGCTGCAGATGCCTGGTGGCTCCCCAGTGAGACACAGCACATCCCACAGGCTTGGGTAGGGAGACAGCCAGGCTGGAGTAACAGCAGAGCTTAAAGCAATTTCCTTGCCTCTCAGTGACTGCCTGGATTGGGCTATTTGTGCATCCCTGTGCCCTGCTTCTTGTCTGGAAGGACATGGGCTCCCCAAGGTCATTTGGAAGATGAAGTCAGGGAAGGGACAGTATCAGAACAGGCAGTAATCTGGACTCCTGAGCGCTGGTCTCCTGGTTACGAATGCTTCATTGCTTAACTATTGTGTGCCCAACATCCCAGCCACAAGATAGGCCTCATAAATATTTACACGCAACGTGTGTTGCGATGCTCAATTAATTGCAGCTGTGACGCACTTAGCAAGCCTCGGAGGAAAGGTGTGCGGAGAGGGCCAGGGGTTATTAAAGGAGCAAACAAGTCAGCTCACGGAAGCAGCAGCCTTTGGAGCTTTCCATGACCCTGGGGCTTTTCAGACCAGAACCCAAATCTAAGGAAAAGTTACACACAAGGGAACGCTGTCCAAGGGTGATGTTTGTGACGATGCCAAGAACTTGTCATCAGAAAATGAACAAAGATAAGCCCAAGTGACTTATCAAAGGGGAGAGGCATGCAATGATTCAAACTTGGTAGCCAGCTTAGAAATGAGACTGGAGCGATCAGGATCAAGTGTCAAATAAGTAGAGTGGGGTTGGAACATGGATCCTGGTGGTGAGACACGGTAGCCACTTCATGTTCAATGAATAAGAATATAAATTACTATGAATCAATACAAAACCATCCAGAAATCATCTGAGAAATGTGCAACCAGGGACTGAGAATGCTCACACTCTGGCGCTTTCTGTGGACTGGATTACTGCCTGCCCGTGGAGATATTCAGAGATGAACCTGAAATGCAAGAATGGAAGGGTTTTGCAATCTTGTTTACAATACTCACAATTAGCCAGAACCTAAATCCTCTCCAAAAAGGCCACGTGGCCAACAAACGTGTTTTTCAATAATACTACATAACTGTAATATCACAAAGTCCTTCACACTCATATAAAGACATTTAGGCACCTACGTGTCTTAATCTGTGCATACAGCACCGATGCAATTTTGATGACTTGAGTTCCATCCCCAAAACCCACCCAAAAGGCCTAGTGCTGTGACAGGCAGCTGTAATCACAGTCCTCCTGAGGTGAGGTGAGAGGTGGAGACAGGGGCATTGCCTGGCAGCTCATAGGTCAGGCCATCCTAGAGCATGAAGCCGAGAAATGGGGTACCTTGTCTCAGGAGGGTAGAAGTAGAGAACCAAGTCCAAGAGTTGTCCTCTGATTCCTACATTTTTGCCATGGCACAGGAGCAACCACACACACACATACACACACACACACATGCACACACATTTTTCATGTATACACATATACATTGTTTTGATTTTAAATGTGTGCATGTATCCTCATTACAGACACATACACATAGGAACATGGTATTGATTTTTTTTCTCATATATGTCTTCTATTTTCTATATCACCTCTAATAAAACATTACCTCAAGCCTACATAATATACACATGAAAGGCCTGCTCCTTGTTTGTATTACACACACCTCAGATGGGTGGGTGATTGCTCAGAATGGTAAAGTACTTAACTTGCAAGGGTATGGACCTGAGTTCCCTCCCACAAAAGTAAATAAATAAATAAATAAATAAATAAATACAGTGTTTTTAATGAACAGGAAGCAGTAGTAACATGACGATACTCTGGCACTGGGGAGATAGGAAGAGGATGATCCCTGGGGCTTACTGGCCACAGCCCAGCCTACTTGGTGAGCTCCAGCCCAATGGCAGATCCTATCTCCAAATGTCAAGGTGGACCAAGGAACAAGCTGAGCTGTCCTTTGACCTCCACATACATGCTCACACATGTGTACACATCCACACACAAGTATAGCTATATATGCATGGACACTCATGCCTATTCACCTACACAGATATGAACATATGTGCCCAATTTTCACAGAATTAACCCTGACATGCTTCTCGCCAGCGCACATTCTTTAGGAGCCTGTGATGAATTCAGGAGCCAACACTCATGTTTGTTCTCTTTCCTGCCCTAGGTCATGGCCACGCCTCAGCAGTACCAAAGGTGAGTCATGGGTTCTGTGCCCTTTAAGTGATGAGATGACAGCCGAGCCCATTGGGCTTTCCAGTCTATTCTTTTTGTGATTTTCTTTCTTTGATGTACACGGGGAGGAGCAGTGACTGTCTCTCTCTGCACAGCCCTGATGTCTGGGCCTCTATGGAAAAGACTAGAAATCAGCTAGGGGATGTCCTTTACTAAGGTGACTGCTACTTGGACATTGACAACTGGAAGGCTAGAGCCCTTGACTTGGGCAAGTCTGGTGACACACTGGTGGTAGGGTTTTGATAGAGTTCCTCCCAAGAGGGAAAGCCCAAAGAACAGCAACTCAAGGGGCCAGGATAGAAGTTACAGGCTTCCTGCAGTCTAGCCTCAGACATCTGGAGCATCTCTCCAATGTAGTTCTGGGCTACAGTCAAGGTAAACACATTAGCCTAGCTTTCAGAAAATGCACTTATCTCAGATGGCTATGTTCCCACTGATAAGAATGCCACCCGGTAACATGCGTTAGCTTCTTGCAGCCTTTCCCTCCAGCTGCCCCAGAGCACAGTTGGTCTGTCAGGCCCACAGATCTGCAGATGTGTGGGGATCCCCATGCTTACTCAATAGTTGTGCAGCCGTGGGCAGAGGACTGCTTTCTGAGCCCAAGTTCCTTCCTCTGTGAAATAGGTGCAGATCTGAGCTATTCACTAGCATTAGTTTCAACTAAACTCTCTATTACAGGTTTCTCTTCCCCCCACCTTCAAAAAAATGCGTGCAACAGAAAAATGGGAAATCCCATAGAAGTCCACTAGAAAACTGGAACTTGGTAGTGAGGCTCAAAATAAGAGAGAAGAAGAGCACTAGTCTAGAGGAAATGTCAAGGGAGTGGATGGATCTTAGAGAGCTCTGTACCTGGTGTGGAGAGGTGCCCTGCAGGGCAGCTTACAGCATGTACCCTACACACAACACGGGCTGCAACAGAGTAGCACAAAAGTCAAGGTGCAGTCCCAAAGTGAAGTATGAGGCTAACCAGTGGGTGATACTCAGTACTCACCTTCTTCCCTCTGTCTGCCCGGGTACGTTCCCCTCCAGGTCTGAGTCCTCCGAGGTGGATGCCTCCAAACTGTCCTAGAGTCTTTGGTCTCAAATATACAATCTTCTCAACACCCTTCATCCTCTCCCGTCATCCACAGGAATCCTGGAGGAGACTAGAACATTCTAAGGGGCTTTGTCCAGGGCAATAAAGCTGTTTATTGGATACATGTGCTGTTAACTCGGAAGCCATGTCAATGGAGCTAGCTGTATAGAAACATAAAGAAAAGAAAGAAGATTTTTAAGAAGTCAACTGAGATTTAAAAAAAATAAATGGCCTGCCCAGACATAGGTGCTATCACAGATAACTGTCCGAAACTCTCTAACAGACCTGAAGTAACTAAGGACACGCATGAAGGTTGACATGGGAGAATGGCCATCTCAAGACAGCCACACACCCCTAGGTTTTTTATGCATTTTTCCCATGTTTTCCCTGGGTTTTTGTTAAAAACATAGTAGGTCATCCATGAGAGTGAATCCCTGCTGCCATCTTAACTGTGGGAAGCCCATTCGTGCCCATGAAATCGTTGACAGCTTGTTTGTGAAGGAACAAACAAGAAAAGGGTGTACACAATGTGAACAGGGATACTGATGCACATGGTGAAGTGTTTGCATGTGTGTGTGTGTGTGTGTGTGTGTGTGTGTGTGTGTGTGTGTGTATCTCACAGGATGTTCACAATATGGAAAGACACAAACTGCTGTGTTGTGTCTATATCTATGTATCTGTGTGCCTCTGTAAGTATGTATCTGTGTGTCTGTGAGTCTGTGTGGCTGTGTCTGTGGTTGTGAGTGAGGGTGTCTGTATGTATCCCTCTACTTGTATCTGTGTGTGTGTGTGTGTGAGTGTGTGTGTGTGTGTCGCTGTGGGGATGTCGGCAATCAAACGTTTACATCAGTTGTGTCAGTGAGGCAACATCACTTCTCTCTTGTATGTCTGCATCTTATAATTTCTTCCAGAAACAGCCATTTTCATATAGTAGAAACAATCTATCGAAAACTGAGTGTTTAACAAAGTCCTCCATAGCTGGATACATCGTGGGATATAAATGGGTCAATGGAGCTGTCCCTCAGAGGCACCCGTGGTGCTACATTGTCCAACAAGATGAACGTGCGAGCTATCTCCTTCCAGTGCCTAAGGAATGAAATCGTGGACAAGTGACTGCCTTATTTAGAAAGTGTGTCCCTCTGTCCTAAGTCCCTATAGGCTTGGGGATGAGGAAAGGTATTTGTTGATTTTATTAAAGATACAAGAAGTTTCATTTTTCCGGAAACATTTTTTCCTTCTAGTGTTCTAAGGTAACGAGTGTTAAAGGTTGATATCCCCTCTACTTTAAAAAGAAAAATTAATAAAGATTTTTAAGACTGGGAGACAAATCAGCAGGTACAAAATATATGGGCCTCCAGTGACCCCTGCTGGTCGATTCTATGCATTACAGTAACTGAGCTAAATGAGCCTATCAGGTTCTGTTAACCCTACTCTCCCAAGACTTCAGAACACTAGTGAACAGGAGTAAATCAAGAAGACAGTTGAGCTGGAGCAAGGCTCTTGTCACATTCCTGGAAGCACAAAATACAGTTTGTGGAGTTGTCTTCAAAATTCAAGCACAGCAGAAGTAACCACAGTCAACAGCCCACCTTGAGGTTTGTACTGGCTGGCCCTTGCTGAATCCAAGGAAGCATTATTTCTGACAAGATAACTCAAGGGCAGATAGTTGTAGAATATGCTTTAGAGAACCGCTTGCTGAGGTAAAGAAAGAGAAGAAAGCTCCAAGTATCTAGACTGTCCTCACCCAAAAGCTTCTGTTGGTGGTCTAGACAGCCACAGTGTTCGTCCAGGACTCCTGCAGAGCTCCTAGGAGTGTAGGAGGGCTACCTCTCCTTCCCACCCATTCACTCATCTGTCTAACCAGCTAGCCAGTTTTACCACTTGTCCATATGTGATCTAATGGGACAGCCATAATAATAGAGAAATAAAACATTAAAGTCTGACAGACCCAACCAAGCAATGTGCATTACAGATGAAGAGATGAAAACTTAGAGAAGGGGGCGACTTTCCAGGAGCCACCAGTAAAAACACTGGGTCTGTGCTCTGGCTTCCAGTGAGAGTTTTCTCTTGTCATTTAAGATTTCCAAATTGTCAGTTCTTGGTATCAAAGCAAGGGGCTGTAGATCATCAAAGCAGGGAGACCCAGAAGGCTATGAGCCTCTCTGTCTGTCTCTGTCTCTGTCTCTGTCTCTGTCTCTGTCTCTCTCTCTCTCTGTCTCTCTCTCTCTCTCTCTCTCTCTCTCTCTCTCTCTCTCTCTCTCT